AAGACCTTAGGTGATGCTTTGTGATGTCCTTCAATGCCTTAGGGATAATTACAGTGACAACCATCTGGTGTTCATTAGAGAAATATCCCTCTTCTCCTGCCCCTCCTCATCTTCTTCCTTAGAAAGATTTATTATGCCTTGTTGGAATGTAAGAAAGGGAAAGACAGGATGAGACTGACTGGCAAATGCCATTAGCTTTCTTTGAAGAGAAAACGTATGTACAAGGGCCTATGTGCAAGGCAATTCTGGGTTTATGTACAAAACAATTCTGAGATCTGATCTGTGTACAGAAATGAATGTTGTGCAAAGCCTCTCATTCCCCTAGAACATGGTTGTCTAATATTTTGCCTTCCCTGGAGAACATTGAGTGAAGCTGAGTTGTCTTGGGCTGTATATAAAAATATAGTTAATGTATATAAATTACATATTAATGTTAAAAGTTTATAATCTTGTGGGTCCACATTACTAGTTGTGGCATGCGAGCATGGGTTGGACACGCCTGACCTAAAAGGAATGGATCAGTTTTCTAGACAGCAGTAAGCTGAGGCAAAAGTTAGAATGATATATAACATCTGGACTGCGCTTTGCATCATAGCTAAAGTGCTACCCTCATATTCAATAGAGAATTCTATTCTGTCATCAGACTTGAAGTAAAATCAACTAGCAATCTGCTTGATTTGGGTAGGTAAAACTAGGAAGAACATCATTCCTTTATCCTTTTTCTCAATCAGGACACCCAGGCAAAATGTAAAGTTTAGCTGTTTTATGTTCTCCTTTTATTATATTTTTATTAACCATTTTTAAGAAAGAAGAAAAAATATCCAACCTGTTGTTAACATTTCCATGTTAGTAATCAGTAATGGAATTATATGCTAGTAGTAAAACATTTTATACCACTTTTCTGTAAGTATATTTTGTGTAATAGATTACTTTCACTGAAATTGTTACAATTGCACACCGATTACATCTAAATTCTGCACCCATCTAATCATACAGTTTTTAACTTGTGTTGTCATTTCATCAACATTTTATAAATAAGAACAAAAATGCTCTGAATTTTGATTTATAACATTCAAATTCTATGTGTTTCTTTGGGTTTCTGTATCATTTAAGGCTATTTCACCCATTTGAAGATATTGAAACTGCATGTGTGATTCTGATAAATCTGCGGATTAAAAAGTTTTCATATTTGTCTTATTAATGAATGTAGGCAATGTGATTTGTTACCTCTCCACTGAGAAAACAGGCATTTTCCTTTTTAGTGAGAATATTGAGGCAAAAGGTAAAATTGTGTACTGATTCTTTTTTAAAAGGTTATTCAAGATTTAGTATACTGCTTATTATTGCATAATCTCTTATAAACCACATATTTCTGTTTCTATTAGTTCAATGAAATGTAAAATTTCATTCATTCACTCACTCATTTTGTATGACATCCATCTCATACCAGTGACTTTGGGCAATTGACGCAAAAGTTGGTCATGTATATTTTTAAAAATTCTATCTGCAAAAAACACCAATATATATTTACAGAGCAAGGTTAACCATTCTCCTTCAGGTCTGCAGTAGAAAATTTAGAAAGATGGGAACTGATTTCCTGATGCCTGGGTTGGTCTGATTTATGTGGCATTATTTTTTGCCAACTTTTAGCAACCACATAGATCTCCCCTCCATGATGATGTATCAATAACCTGTTCTTTCAGGTCCACTGACAATATACTCATTACCACTGTAACACCTTGTTTCTTGATCATCCTCTTTCCTTTTATGTTTCTAAGCCTTAGAAACTTCCCTAGTCTTTGCACAATATGTCTGAAGTAGGATAATTTGAGCTTGGTCATTTGTATCTCAAGGGAGAATTCTGGGTTGATTCTTCACTAAGCCATTTGTTTGTTTTTTTGAATGTCCACAGTATTCTTAGGAGTCTTCTTCAACACTTTGGTAGTTGTCTACACTTGTCTATACTTTGGTAGACAGTGTTAGTACTCTTCCTATCCTGCTTCCAAAGTCCTTCGTTGGATTTCACTACTTCACACTGCTACAAAGGAAATACAATTAATACTTCCATACTCTAAAACTGCTCTGAAGAAAATAGAGTATAAGCAGAAAATAGAATATGTGGAAAGTATACAAACGTTTGCATTGAAATGTATATTCAAAAAGTTGAGAGCAAGTTGCATTTACTGTCAAAAAAGGCAAAGGAGCAAGAGAGTTTTATTAACAATAAAGTGGCTGCAACAATGTATGTCCAGATAAGTCTGCTCACTTCTTTAATCCCTTAAATTTTACTTTCCTAGACTCTGAGGAACAGAATGGGTCAATTCGCTTTGGCCATCTTGCTGCTATCATCTTGCTGTAGCCAACCCACTGTGGCCATCTCACTGCAGCCATGTCTCCATCAGGCCAACTCACTGCAGGATACATGGTGAGTTGTCCTGTGGTGAGATGGTCACACCAGTTTGGCTGCAGTGAGATGACCATGATGAGATGTATGCAATGAGTTGGCCTGATGAGTTTTCCAAGACCCCCCGGGGAGATAGAAATGCTTGTAAGTTGAGTGATAATCTATATAGCCTCTAACTTTCTTCTGTCTTTGGAATGATAATGGGCTCATGTTGGATCCCAGGGCACACTTCAAAGTACAGTAATTTGCCAAAATCCTATGCTTTGTTTGCTACGTCCTAATTTTCCTGTTAATTTTTGTAATTAATTTTTGAAAAATAGTCTTTGAAAAAAAATTAAGTGAGGCCCAATGATTCACTCTGGAAATTGCATATGGACAGAAGTGATGCTGAAGAACATTGTTTGGAAAAGGCAAAAAAACAATAACTTTGATTTATTGTCCAAAATGATTTCTTTCCTTTTATTTTTTAGAAAATGCAACCTGTTTTTTTTTGTTTCTTTCCACTGCCTTTGCTGTTGTGCTTTCAATATTAAGATCAAATACACTTTCACGCAGAGAAACAAATGAGATAAGATTAGCAACAGATGCATCACTGGAAGAGCTTCAGTAATTAATACTTGTCTTTAGATGTGACTGTTGCTGGTTTTTAAAAAATAATTTCCCTCGCAGCTTTGGAAGACTGCCCTGTTGACTGACTGAGAATAAAATCTTAGCTATTAAATCCTGTACAGATGAATTTGTGAAATGGAGACGAAGCCAATGCCTGTGGCACTCTGCCAATGTTAATCAGGGTATAGGAAGTGTGCTTGTTTGCATGTGGAAAAAGCAAAGGGATTGCTTATCTTAGTTTCTGCCCTGGATATGCTGATAAGAGGAGGGGATGTCAGTTTGACCTAATTTTTCCAAAAGAAGTAGAATATCAAAAGACTCTGTCCCTCTAGCTTTGGATATATCTCCCATCTGAATCATTCAGCATTGGCTGGAAAGGAATAAATTCAAGTGGGCAGCTTATACATTGAATATGATCTATATATCTTTGTGGGTTGGATAATATGCTGCAGAGCAGCTTGACTAAATCTGATTCTTAACCCTGATAATACACCAAGATTTATAAAGTCACTTAGAGTTTTATTGGAAAATCAACATCCAGGTTACACAGGTAGCTTTTGACTGTTGAAGATGCTTAGCGACTGTTTGAGATTACAACTGACCTCAAAAAAGGAGACTTATCACCCAGATGCAAAGCTCACGTGTTCAAGCCCCCTCCATAATCACATGACTGAACTTCAGGCACTGAGTAAATGGCCACATTTATGGCCGTTCTCAGCCTGCCACAGTCACATGTATTTAATTATGTTTTTATGAAAATGAGAACACCTAGTTTTTGGCAAAATAGTACGTGCAGTGAACTGTTGGCTTGCTTATTTGACCACCATCAGAGAATTGTGAAAAATATTGCACAATTGGAGTTGGTCACATGCCTGGTCTGTTTTACAACCATTATGACTTATGGCTCCATTATGGTTGTATGTTAAGGTCTACCTATAACAGATTCATCCAAATGAACGGGTGATCAGAAAAAGTGGTATAAAACATAGTACTGTAATTATAATCAGCATGGTTGAAAACACAATGTGCAATCTTGTGAATACTTACCTAGCTCTCATTCTTTACACCTTGACTTTCATAGCAAGATTCAAGTCTCTATAGTCACTGAGCTGAGTCATTTATTATTACTTCAGCAATCAGGTGTACCAACCATTTCCAGTGGAGCAATTTAGTAGATGAGCTTGACCAAATGCAGAACACAGAGGCAAACTGCATGACAAATGATAATAGCAAAACCATGGATTGTTCTCAAATCCTCTTAAAGCAGCTTAATGAAATAGCTTCAGCAAACACACAGCTTTTTCTGGCAACAGAAGTTAAGGGAACATGTTGAGATGAACTATATCCCAAAATGTTAGGTTTTCATTCATTCGGCTAGTTAATTTAATTAGAAAAACATGACTTTTAGAGACAGTGTGATGCATCAGTGAAAGCATTAGACTGAGATTAGCAAGGAAGAAGTTCTGATCTTCATTCAATAGGGAATTTATTTTATAATCTAAGCACAAAGGCATCTTTCTCTGCAGCAGTTCTTGAAGTGACCCTGTAGTACTTGAGAATCATTCTGGAAAAACCTGAAGAAAAGAAGTGCAATTTCTTTGAAAAATCCTGAAGTGCTGCTCAGAGGGGAAAAAAAAAAGATAATCACAAATTGCCTTCTTTTCTTAGTACTAGTGATTTCTGAACAATGCTGTTGACTGGTAACTTATAAGAAGAGACTGAGTATTTGTGAATGAGTGACTCATAAATATTTATAAAAATTGTATAACTCTTCCTTCCCACCATACATATTTCTAAGAATTACTTCCACTTTCGCCTTGTTTCCTACTGCCTGTGTGGTTTCATCCCTGTTCTACATATACAAGACCTGTTATTTTTCATCTCCTTTTCTGTCTCTTGAAAGGTTAGAGTGGATAGACGAACTCTCTGTTTTTCACTATTTTTATTTTAATAAGACTAATATTAGTACTATCATTTCTCTACACAGCTATGCAGCAGGTCCTGGACAACCTCGGTGACCTCCCCAATTCCATGGGAGCTGGAGATCTGGATCTCATCTTTCTCCGTGGCCTCATGGAGAGTCCAATAGTAAGGTCATTGGCTAAGGTACAGTTAAATGGGTAGCCAGGGACGGGATTGTAGCTGAGCAAAACCTGCACCTTCAGTTCCACTCCCTTCCACAACATCACTTACTCTTTCTTGGTCTTGACCATAACACATTTTTCCAAATAGTTTAGTTGACAATTTCCTCTGTTCCTTTGTCCCTCCTCTATCCTTCCTTCCTCATGAATAAATCTGTATCTTTTATTCATTAAAAAAAATCAAGTCCATTCCACTTTATGAAAAGAATTATTAACTTTGATAACTGCTTACTGAACAAGCACCATTTACAGCTGCAGAATCTATTCTCAGTGGCAGGACCAACCAGGAAAATGTGAATAACAAAACAAAGAAACCTACTTCTTGGAACAAAAAAAGTTATAATGTACTGTCCATATGCAAAATCATGTTTAAATAAGAGTTTCAAAGAATTCAAAGAATCCTGGATGATTCCAGATTGGTGATTCTGCAGTATCCCCTTTCTTCCTTCTCTCCTGGGAAATTTCTGTAATGTTTCAGAAATTCTTCCTAATTTTATCTAAATCTTTCCTTCACACTAAGAAAGACTATTGATTCTTGCTTGCCTTTTAATACTTGCTCCATCACTTCTTTCTGTTCCTTCCTGGCATCTTCAATATTTACCATTAGATTCCCAACATTTACTAGCATAATTTTATTTATTTGTAACTTTAGTGAAGCTTCAATAACTGGATGGATAGTACCAACAGCTGCACTACTTGTAGTTTGTTGGCAACCATATGGAAATGGTTTGCCATTGCCTTCTCCTGGGGTCTGTTTTAGACTTAGTTTATTTTATAGCCTGTGAATTCTTGATGGGCTCCCAACCAAGTACTAACCAAATCTTGGTTTTTTTGAGATCAGCCAAATCATTTGGTATGGTTTTAGTCCATGCTGTTTTGTTTTATGTTTTAAAATATTTTAATTTTATATCTTGTAAGATGTCTAGAGTCTATTGGAGTAGGTAGCTACAGTACATTTGATAAACTATCGTTTTCCTCTTCTACCATCCTGAATGTTGGCTCATAATTGATTGATGAAGTGATTGTGTGCCATCATTTTTTTTATTTCTAGCAATCACAAAGGTAAAGTTTTTCTGTGAACAGTCTGTTCTTCCAAGTCTTCCAATGGTGTGCTCTTCACACTGTAACTAGCCCATCCACCTTGCTGCTGTCTATCCAGTTCTCTTTCCTTCTATCTTTCCAAACATTAGAGCCTTTTCCAGAGAGCTAAGTCTTCACAAAATGTGTCTGAAGTAGAGTAATTTGAAAGTGGTCTTTTGTATCTTGAGTGAGAACTCTGAATTTCAATTTGCTACCAATATTACAATTAAGATTAGAATGGAATTTATGACCATCTGTTATGATTTTTAGCAGTTTTCACCATTAAATAGGCTAGTTGGGACTGCTGGAGCTATAATTTAGCAAAATTTGGAGAGATATTATTAGTTCATACTAGTTCTACTTTCTTAAGATAAACTTTCAAGCAAACTGGATGATTCCTGGCCAAGAAACAATTAGAAATGAATTGTTGTCTCTCCCTCTTTTTCCATTATTCATTTCTGCCCTTCTTGCTTCCAGTAATTAACGTCCCCAGATTTGCACTTATTAGAACCCATAGGAAATACAATATAATGAAAGAAAAATAAACTCATATAAATAATGCATGGTGGAAGGCAAGCAGCAGTTCATGTATTGGTGGGCTTTAAAAGAATGTTTGTAATTCTTAACCTATCAGCCTGAATTCCTTAGGCCAGTATTTCTCAACCTTGGCAACTTTAAGATGTGTGGATTTCAGCTTCCAGAATTTTCCACCAATGTTGTCAAGACTGAGTAACATCCCGCCTGCCTTTTTTGAAGAAAAGTATCATTCTGGTGTTAATGTGGAAACATACTAAGTACAAATATTTTGTTCCAATACAATTTTAAAACCTTTTTGTAAGTAAACGTATATAGAGAATATATTTATTCCAGATTTTGTATACTGCTCTCCCTAAGAAGACTCCCAATGATTTACAGTATCATACATAAAATCAATAAAGTAAATGCAAAACACTGATAAAACTTAATAAAATCATCAGCCACCCTGATGTCTGTTATTCCAGCATCAATGCTTACAATTCAAAATTGAAAACATGAATGCCTTTTTAAAGCCTATCAAGAAAGGGGGAAAATCAAGGGGTAGGCTATTCCAAAGGAGAAAAAAGGAAAGAAAAAAAATTTGTCCCATGTCCCCCATGTTTCCTGGAGGGATCCTCAATACCCCTGCTCAGAATTATCAGACTGGTTAGATCAACTCTGCCTGAAAAAGATGGTAGTTTTTTATGGGTTCAAAACCAGACATTTGAACTGTACTCAGAAGCCTGTTAGTAGGCCAGGTTTTATGCAGTCTTCAGATACAGCCTCAACTTGACTTTGTTATTGTACTCTAATCAGTAATGAGGGAGTATGCTTATTTCCATCAAGGCTTCCAATTCCAGCTCACTCATCCTCAGAGTCTGCCAGCTATGGCTTCCAAACAGTACTCCTGAGTTTTGCAGTACTCTCAAATGTGTGGCTGCTTTTTTAAGGAGAGTGACGCCACATCCGGTGGCACAGCTGAGCTGGGAGAAAGCCATTTGGTTTTGAAATAAACAACACCCACGTTGCAGAGATTCAACTTAAGCCTCTTCCTTCCCATTCAATTCTTCACAGACTTCAGACACCTGATCTAAGGCCCTTCTTGCATTTGGTAGTTTAACCTGGAGTAGAAACGAATATTTGCATATCATCAGCACACTGATACTTCACTGTGGGATGAACTCACTCAGCTTCTTCAAGCAGACATTTGTGTATGTTGTGAGGAGGCTGGGAAAGAAGTGCAAAGGAGAATAAATATAAACAATCAAGAGATAGTTGACAGTTTATCTCTTAAATTGCAGTGCGACATGAAACCTGGAAAGAAGCATTTTAAACCATTTCAAAAAGAGTCTCTGAATGATCTCTCTCCCCCCCTCTCCTTCTCCCTCTCTCTGTGTGTGTGTGTGTGTGTGTGTGTGTGTGTGTGTGAGAGAGAGAGAGAGAGAGAGAGAGAGAGAGAGAGAGTCACATTGTAAGCTTGAACATGAACTTTAGCCCATGTTCAGTCAAGCTCACTTCCAAACTTCCTTTCATTTGATAAACCAAGCAGCTTCTCAGAATAAGCAAAAAGAGAGAAGCCATTTCAGAGTTTGATCTGCTGAATTGCTAGTGAAACCCCTGAGGCCTCATAAAATCTGTCTCAGTCCATGAGGCTTTAGGGGATGGACTATTTAATTACTCCTTTGATCTTTCCAATAGTAGCAGGGGTGATGGAAAGTGATCCAAATATGGCAAATAATTCACAATTACATCTTCGATTTTCAGATTACATGCCAACTACTCTGAGATGAAGTCTGAATTTATCATCTGGCTACCACTGTGAATCAGGCTAGAGATTACTTGGAACATGTTCATGCTGGCTGTGCAGGCCCTGAGCTCCTAAATCTTCACGGCATCCATCCTCATCCCAAAGAAGTCAATAAGCCTACACACTAGTGTTTCTCAACCTCAGCAACTTTTAAGATATATGGAATTCAACTTGCCAGCATGCTGGAAGTCGAAGTCCACACATCTTAAAACTGCTAGAATTACTGGCTTAGAAGACTCTAAGCCCATCCCAGGAGTTTTCCTATTAAAAATAATGAAAGCGTTCTGACAAAATGATACCCTATGTGTGTTTTAGGCGATCAATTTCCTAATCTTCCAGCATTATATGGTTGGAATGAAGAATTGGTCTTTATTCAGCCAAATAAGTGCAGCATCATTCCACTTCAGTGTATTCCTGCACTGATTCTGACAACGAAAATGGTTCCCAGAAGTGAGATTGGATTCATATGAAGCCTGCTCTTTTTACCCTCCCCCCATTTCCATGAGTGAAGCTAAGCCTCTATTTGCCAGTCTATTATTTTTAGCTCCTTCTCTTTTGTGTCTGTTTCCCTGCTTGAGGCTTATCTAGAGCAGCTATTCATCTTTCATACAGCAAAGACCTGTTTGATTTCTGGCTACATGCCACCGAGGTCCAGGAAAAGCTCTCAGTTGTCTCACTGTTCCCCTTGCTGTGTTTCTGAGCAAGTGGGTTGTGTGTTTCCATACAGAAGAGTAATTACTTGGTTTCTTTTTCTTTATAACATGCACAGCCCAGTCTTTGTCTTCAGAAAGACTTGACAAAGCTTGACGGGCACCCACTGTGTAAAGCTATTTAACTCTAGAGATGTCTATAAGCCTTTTATGCTTATTAAAACAAAAATCAACAAACCTTAAAGTGGTGATCTTGTAATTTTTAAGGAACCCAAAGAACATAACTTAATATCCTTACATTATCTGCCAGGACACAAGTCTGTAGTAGGAAGACAAAGGGTTAGCATGGGTTAATCTGTTTATGTGTCCCTTTAATCCCTTCTTCTTTGCCCTTTCCCCATCCACCTTGCAGGCTCATGAGCGGCTGGAGGAGACAAAGCTGGAGGCTGTGCGGGACAACAATTTGGAGCTGGTCCAGGAGATACTTAAAGACATCACACACATTGCTCAGCAAGATAGCACAGCAGCTGAACTGGCCCGCATCCTCCAGGAGCCCCATTTTCAGGTAGGAGGGGGAACCTTGCTGGGGAGGGAAGGGGGGGAGAAAAAATTGGGGAGCAGAAAGAGAGAGAGAATTCCAGAATTTTTATATGCTTTGTTGATTCGTTTGTAGAGTATTTGGCACTGTCTTGGCAGGATAAGGAACAAAAATGGTGCAACTAGGCAAATGTAGATTCTGGACTTCATAATCTCACAGGGGACTCTCTTGGAATTTTATTACATTTAGAAGACTTCTGTTCCTGCTTAGTAACCTCCTAGATTTTGTCCCCAGTCTATTCAAAAAGTTTACATCTGTATATGTATTAATCAGAGGGAAATAAAAAAGGGACAGAAAGCAATGAATACTAGCCATTGTGTTTTGTACTAAACTGAGGGTGTTAGCATTGTCTATCATTGAGTTGGGAATTGCAACTTACTGCAGCATTTCGTTTGCTGGGATTTTATAAGAAAGAATACCAGACTAGTGCCTTTTTTAAAAAAAAATCTGAAACATCTGGATGATCAAAGTGATTAATGACCTGCATTTACAACATTCTCTTCAGTGGCAATTGCATGTTTCCCCACCCAGGTGCTGAATTAAGAAGAAGTATCAATTTTATGTAACTTCAGGTTGTATCATTTATACATGCCTGTTCATTGACAAATGTTATATTGCAACTATTTGTTTTATATATGTTTAAAAGAATTGGCTAGATTTATGTAGCTGAAGAGATTTTTTATAGATTGTTTATTATCTGGTAAGTGTGTAATTTAAAATATTGTTATAAAAACTTTAGAGTAGATTTATTATTAGTAAATTTCAATCACACCTTTCTCTGAGTAAAGTGCCTTGCAGCCCATTAGAGATGAATGTGTATGGAGAGCTAGATATGCTTCAGTTCTTTTTAACGTGGTCTGTTCATAAGGGTCCATGTTTAACCATGATGATGCCAAAAGGATGAAATATGCATGGTGACTTCATGATGCAAGCTCTCCCCCTTCTCACTTATGTCATGTTGTTGCACTGTACACTTTGTCACTTGTTCTCTCTGCTCCCATTGGATATGTTTAAATCTCTTTAGGATGGCTGTGTGACCTAACTTACACTCCGCTTGAACCACTGTTCAGTTGTCATCTGGCTTTTAAAAAAGATTCATAGTAGAAGTCAGAAGATCTTGAATTGTCTGCCAATATTTAGCACTTCAACAACAAGCTACTCAGCTTGGTCCTTCTCTCTATCATGGTACTAAAGCTGTAGCCCCTAATTCTGAATTTGAATCTATGCACATATATTTTCATAATATTTTTTTAAAGTAATAGCTTCTTTTTCTGCTATTTGTTATAAGTCTCCTCCTCCTCCTCCTCCTCCTCTTCTCCTCCTCCTCCTCCTCCTCCTCCTCCTTCTCCTTTTATATATTCAGTTGAGTGGAATGGCAGATTATGTGGATGGATGGATGGATGGATAGATAGGTATGCCTAGATTCTTAATTCTTAGTCTGTGAAAAAATATAGCAGTACAACTTTCTTCAACCTGATGCATTCTAAATTCTTGGACTATGATTCTAATCATCTCCAACCAATAAAGCTACAGCAACAATCATCCACCTTAGTGACACAAATTTTGCCCAAATTTCAATATAACTTCCTGTTCCTTACACAAATGTTAAATAAAAACATTGGGACAAGATAAAAACTTATCAGAACTAAAAATTCACAGGGATTCGGCCGGTCTCTCAGCAAGACAGATGGGGGAGGTGTGGGCTCTGAAGAGCCTCACATGACCTCTGTCTGACAAACCAATGCCAAGATCCTTTTGGATCAGAACCTCCCTGTGGGGGAGTGGGTGAAGAAGGGGCAGCATCTCATCAACATCCCAGAGGGAGTGCAACAGGTCTCTTTAGGTCATAGATTTGCCCTCTGAATCAGCATCAGGGGAGGCAGCATGCAACATGGCTGCACAAGAAGCAGCTGGTTCCTGGCCAAAGCACCAAATAAGAGCATGTAGGAGACGGGATGAAAAGCCTGGTAAGAAAATTTAATTAACCAACAGACATAAATCAGAATTTGGAAAAGGCAAAGAACCTTGAGAGTATAAATAATATTCATGGGCAGATCAGGTTTTTGGCAAAAAGAAAGACAAATGGGGAAAATGAAGGGTTACATCATGAGCCCAAAAAGAACTACTTTCCTTAAATAACTTGGAGACAGAAAGGAGAAAGCAGAGGAGTGACAAACCCATTCAAACACAAGCTTAGAATTTGGATTTGGATTTGAAAAAAACTGTGTCTTTAAAAGAGATAAAGAGGCTTCACTCGAGTTTCTTCTAACTAACATATCTTAAGCAACTCTAATTAATGAGATGTGGAATGTAACAAGGGGAAAAATCAAGAAAAACACTATTTTTTCATTTATAACCTAATCTTGTCTGCTGCAATTAATGGAATGTGAAACCTTGAGCAGGAAGTTTTAATTAACCAATTGTCATAAATCAGAATTTGGAAAAAGCAGGAGGTGAAGAGAAACATACCAAGGAGACTTGTTGTGTTTGAGTTCATTCTAATTAATATATTTTAAGCAACTCTAACCAACGAGAGGTGTAAAGTAACAACGAGAAAAAATAAAATAAAACCAAGAGCTGGGAAAATATGAAGTTTCTTTGCCGGAGGGAGATCAAAGGATCAAGATGGCTTCTTCTCTTCTTCCTCTCCACATTAGCTGAATTAGCTAAATTTAAGGTGGACCACAACTCTGAAATAAGAACTGTATAACTAACTGTAATTTTGGAACTGGACATTATAGAAAGGTGGGAATTCGAAGAACTACGTGAAATTATTAAATATATGCATAAATCATTAAAATCAAATCTAAATAGAATTTTGAAGTTAGATATTGAAGAAGTGAAGGCAGAAGAGGTGAATGAAGTGGTAGAAATGATGGAAAATAAAAAAAACAGTCAAAACATTTCATTGGATTTCAGAGTGGTATAGGAAAAATTGAAAACGAGGGATGTGTCCCAACAAAAGGAAATAAAAAGCAGACAAAAGATCTCACTGAGTTTGATAGTGACACCGGGAAAACTGAAGAGGGGGGTTATGCCCCAACAAAAGGAAATACAAAAGATTTCACTCGGTTTCACAGTGGCTTGGGGAAAATTGAAGAAGGTGAACATGTCAAAAGACTTACTAGGAAAAAATTAGATAATTAGAAATTGTTATATGGGAAATATAAAGCTGAGATATGTGGTTTACTCCTATATATGATAATTAAACTGAGTTATTAACTGATTGATAATGATAATGGAAAGATAATTAAATAAAGGTTAAAATATATGGAATATGGATAAATATGAAACTGTTATGTGGAGAATACAAAATAGAAGTATGTGATTCACTTTTATACATGATAATTAAACTGAGTTATTAATTGACTGATTATGACAAATGGAAGGACAATTAAGTATAGGTTAAAATATATGAAATATGGACACATATACGGACACTCTTAAGATGATAAACAAAGTGAGGCTGTACCGCTTGTTATTCTACATAGTAGATTAATGGAATTGTAATGAACATCGAACAGTAAGGATTGTTATTTAAAGACAATTAGGAGTAAGCTAAGTCAAGATATGGAAAAATGGAGGGGGGGATATGAAATATATTTATAATGAAAAATTATTGAGATTATAAATACAGAACTACAAATTTGGGGTGTGTAATGATGTATAACTATAAAAATATAATGATGAGAGTAGCTGGGAATCATAACCAGGTCTACATCCTAGCCAAAAATAGGCAGTGTTTGTGTTTGTTAAAAATATAATTATCTATCTATCTATCTATCTATCTATCTATCTATCTATCTATCTATCTATCTATCTATCTATCTATCTATCTATCTNCTATCTATCTATCTATCTATCTATCTATCTATCTATCTATCTATCTATCTATCTATCTATCTCTCTATCTCTATCTCTATCTCTATCTCTATCTCATCTCTCTCTCTCTCTCTCTCTCTCTCTCTATCTTTATCTATATATCTATATATATATATACTTTTTTTCTTTTAAAAAAAGAAGGAGGAGGATATATGTTAAAATTAAAGATGTATATTGAAATGGAAGTATAAATACTATCAACATAAAATGGAGCTCGCTTAGAGGCTGAAATACACCAAGTAAATGAGATGAAGAGTGTGGAATAGAGGAAAGAGGTAAGGGAAGAAGAGAAGGATAGGAGAGAGGGTAGGGAGGGGGAAGTGGAAGAGAGAAAGAAGGAGTGGAAAGGGGAGAGAGGAGAAGGAGAGAGGAGGGGGAAGTAAAGAAGTGAAGGATGACAGAGGAAAGAAAAGAGCTAGGGAGGAGGAAAGAGGGAGAAGAAACTGATGGATAGGGTATAAATACAGCATATGGAGAGCAGAAGAGTCAATAATTGTTTTGGGGGGTTGATGATAAAATGAATTGATGTAAATATTTAACAATATAATATAATGTTGGTTATGTAATAGTATATATGTGGCTATTTGTTGTGAAAATGAAAAAATAAAAAACCTTTTAAAAAAAAAGAACCAAAATTTCACACATTGTGATGAATGTATCTTTTTTTATGTACACTGAGAGCATATGCACCAAAGACAAATTCCTTGTGTGTCCAATCACACTTGGCTAATAAAGTATTCTATTCTATTCTATTCTATTCTATTCTATTCTATTCTATTCTATTCTATTCTATTCTATTCTATTCTATTCTATTCTATTCTATTCTATTCCATTCCATTCCATTCCATTCCATTCCATTCTATCAGAACCATCATAATATCATATCCACCTAATCAGACCTGGGCATAGTGTTATGCATTCTGTCTAATATTTATGCATTAGCCATGTACTATAGCCATAGTATTATTATTATTATTCTCCCTTCTTATTGGTATTATTGATATCATCCTCATCCTCATCCTGTTGCTTTGGATATACATTGAGAGCCACTACACAAGAAACAAATTCCTTGTATGTCTAATGAC